CACACCCACACCCACACCCTATTTTATAGCATTATTAATTTCACAACTTTTATCATCTTCTGATCGGCGAATTTTTACGTACTTAACGTTGACGATAACAAATACTTTTTGTAACAACATTAACCAAAAGTTGCGTAATGAAGCTTCCAGTATATACAGATGATATAGAAGCTGAAGCTATGAAAAAAATGGATATAGCATGGATTAGCAAGAATATAAAGTGTAAAACAGGTGAGATCAATTTTAAATGTAGTACATACGGCGATGATGTTGATGATGAAGAAAATGGCAAGGATCATTATATAACTGGCAAAGGATTTGAAACCGAAATATTTTTGGTTAACTGCTTTCCAACTGTGGAAGAATTTATAGAATATATATATGGCATAGCGACTCGACCGATCTTGTTAATATACGCTAATGATATAACTTTGAAAAGATTCTCATCTTTCTTAGACTGTCCTCAGATCGAATCCATTTATGAATATAATTCACAACAACCGTGGAAAAAATGTACAGCGTCGTCCCAATCTGTTCCTGTTGATACAATCATTACGCAAATTGTGAATACCGGTGATCGATTATTCGATAACGAAACTACGCTGTATCCTATTAACGAGTATATGATTAATTCAGCATTCGATGAACTTGATAATGATAGTCGAAACATTATTATGTATCAGCTTCTAGTCGAAGTGATTCTTCGATCTGTGAGAGCAGAAACGAGTAAAAACGATTTTTTGGATTATCTACGCGAACTGTTCTCGGAGAATATCCGCTATACACAAGATATTCAAAACTTCGATTCATGTTACACAGCAGATAAAGCAATTTACTGGTACACTCGTCCATCATGTGTTCATCGCGCTATCAGTATGACCTGTTCGGTTACAAATATTCATCATATATTTAAAATTCGCTATTTTCTGCATGATATTTATAATGAACTCAAGCGAATTCATTCAATATCTATGAAGATCTTTGATGAAATACTTTGCGTTTATCATGGGAAGCGTATGCTTGAGGAAGACGTTGAAAAGTTGCGCGAATGTATAGGCGACCGTATTATTACAGGAGCGTTCCTATCGGCAACGGTAGACAGAAATGTTGCTCTATTCTTTGCAGGCGAAGGAAACTGCAATGATCAGAAAGTGGCAGTTATTTTTCGTATATATATGGACACAACGGCAAGTAACAAGAAACCTTTCGCATATATTTCATCAGCGAGTGCAATAAGCGACGAAACAGAAGTTCTGTTGTCAATCGGAAGCATTTTCAAAATACTTGTAGTGGAGGAGATTTCGGTAACAATCTGATATCTTTTATATGAATTGTTACTGTTTTTTTTACTAGGAATATACATGGGAAGTAACTCTAAAACGTGATAAAGAAGAGGAAGCAATTGAAGAAAAACTCATTAATCGTTACTTTAGGACGGATGTGAAGAAACAAGAGCAAATTATTTGTTCCATGGTTGATTTCTTGGAGAGTGCGGGAGATGTTACATCAGGTGATCAATTTACACAACGGATCTTTGAATATTTAAGATCAGACAATTTCGAAACGAGAAACGAAACTAGTACACAAGTTACAGACAAATGTAGTAAGCATTTATTTAATCATACGGCTCATCGTGTTGTTATTCACGACACGTATCATAAATCCCTCTTTTTAATTTGATTGGTCTATGCGTTGTTCGCATCGGTCAAAGAGCTTTTTGAAAGACTGAGAATTTATACGATAGTAGAGATCCAAAAGACTGCATACATGTAGTTTCAGCACAGATGGTAGCGCTTAAGTTCATTAAGTTCACTATTGATGGTTTGATGATTCTCGATACATCCTTAGTATCTTACAACAATAATCTAATAAGTAAACGTCGACTAAATACTAACAGCTATTTATCTCTAAGATATTGATTATTTCAAAATCATTCGTTGCCGCCGGAGTCAATTACATAGCTTCATGAATTTGCCAAGGCTAATTCTGTCAAATTTATAGGGCATCCTTATAGTTTAGGAATTTTATCACAGAATCACTGTCGAAGGTAAGATAAAGCGTTACAGTAAAAGATGAGTGCGCGATTTTAACAACGAATTCCAGAATCGATGAAACTTGTTCCCAAATGTGCAATATCGCAAAATAGGATGACTGCTATAAAAAGAAGGTAAGCTTCATGGTACTGCTAAAAAGACAGTTTTGAACTTGGAGTGGGATTTGCAAAGGAATACTGGATGTTCAGCGATATTTACGAGAGAATATACTCAAGTGTGAAATCGCTTTTCGCTTGGTTCTATTACCACTCGATCGGCCTTAATGAGTAATGAAGGTACCTATTTATGTTTGATTTTCTGGTCTTCTGTTATTAACTTATGGGCATTTTACTGGATTTTTGGCTGATAGAAATGGGGTTCTATGAGTGCCGAAATGATCGAGTTTCAAACTGATACCTTGTGCATAGAGAGCTCTCATAGTCATCAGAAAATCTCCAGTTTGCGCTAGAAAGAATGCATCGTTATCGAGATACTCATAATTTAAGAAAAGCATCTCTTTTCGATTATGCTTCATAATCGACATATTTCGGTATAAGCTAATATCATGGTAAAGGTACGGTTGTTCTGGCTTAAACTTTGGAGATTTTCTGATGACTATGAGAGCTCTCTATGCACAAGGTATCAGTTTGAAACTCGATCATTTCAGCACTCATAGAACCCCATTTCTATCAGCCAGAAATCCAGTAAAATGCCCATAAGTTAATAACAGAAGACCAGAAAACCAAACTTAAATAGGCACCTTCATTACACATTAAGGCCGATCGAGTAGCATTAGAACCAATCGAAAAGTGATTTCACGCTTAAGTATGTTCTCTCGTTAGCCAAGTTGCCAAGATCTAATGTGCACAGCGGGATATGCGGCGGCGATAGATAAATAATTTTAAAGTTCGTTTGTGGTTAAGTTTAGTATTTTTTCTTCAATATGCAACGGTT